GAGGTGCAGAATTGCAAAGACAAGCTGGGTAGGGAGGAGCCCTGAAGCCCCCGCGGCCTGAACGAGTTGAAGGACGCAAGAGATCGCCTCATCACAGAGCCACCCGAAGCGCCCGAGATGCAACCCGCCAGTGGCCACCGCGGATCGGGCCGCGCGCCCCCGAGCGACCTCGCGAGCCACATCCGATTCTGGAAAATGAAGGGAAGGGACAGGAACGAAGGAAACAGGCAAGGGCGGCGGCCAGGGCTGAACTCCCAGGAGCCCGGAGAACTTGGCAAACTCAACCGTCAACAGCGACAACGGGTCGGCGATAATATTACCTTCAGCCGGAAGCACGGCGCATGGACCCCAGGGGGCGGGAGTCTCGGTGGCCCGGTAAACGTTCCACCCATCTTGGCACTTCATGGGCCAGGATCTCCATCCCTGACTAGAGGCACATCGAGCTCTCTTTTGCTTGGACATCAGAGGCCGCTCGAGCGCCGGGTCGAAAGCGCGCACAGCGGTTATATACATATATATGTATAAATATATATATAGAGAGAGAGAGATTACAAATACAAGGTTTCTGGGAAACCTCGCAAATCAACATATGGGCCTCCTCGAAGAGAGGGCGCGTCTGACCCTGGCGCTTGACCACGCAGGCGGGGGCGGCGAAGCCGCGCGATATAGAGTCGGCAAGCCCGCTGAGGGCCAGAGCGCGAAACGAAGATTCGAACATGTGAGCTTTCCAAAGCCACCTTATCGGAACAAGCTGGGGGCGCCTGGAAGCATTCTATATCACGAAAGAGGATAGGACTCCAAATCACCTTGGGACCTCGGCCCCTGGTGGCCCAAATCTCCAGCTTAAATCCCGCCAGCTCCGCAATCTCCTTTTCCGCCGCCCCCCTGCCGCTCCCGTCCATACTCGACTCTTCTCGGGGGGCCTTGCGCGCGCGACGGGAGTTTTTCCCGGGGCTTCTCCTGGGCCCCCCCGCCCCGTCCACCATGCTTCCTGGGCGCAGGCGCGGGGCGGCATCGCTGTTTCGACGCCCCGCCCCCCTCCCCAGCTAAGCGCATCGCCCGCTGCACTCCGCCCCCCGATCTGCGGGGGTCGGCCGGGGCGCCTGCCGGCGCCCCCAGCCTGGCCTGCAGCGGGAGGGGCGCTCCCGTTGAGGCACGTCGCGCCAGTTTTATATTGTCGCCTCTCGGCGCTTCTCCGCCTGCCCCTCTGCTCTGCCGGGGGATTCGCCCTCTCCTCCTGCCGCCGCCCCTGGGCCTCTGGGGGAACTCATGACTCTTGGACACGCGCGCGCGGCGAGCGCGGAGATGCCTGCCTGGGCAGCGGACGCGGCCAGGTCGATGGGCGCCATCAGCCGATGACTAATCGGGCGGCGGGCCGACTGGTCCACCCAGGCGATCCGAAGGGGGCCCGAGAGGACGCCCGAAGACCAGGGCGCGCAGCTTGCCGAAGTTCCGGAACAGAGCGCGACGAACTGCCCAGCGCGGGGACAGATCTCCACACGACACCCGACCACGAGCTGCGCTGCCACGGCCGCGACGAAGCCGCGGCCAGCAATGACATCGCCTGTCATTCCCACCCCTCCCGCAGCGCAGCAGATGTTCAGAAACGAGCCGAATGTGGCCCCCCCCCCACCCGTTCCGGGGCGCCCACGCACTCGCCTGGTCGACCGTTCCGCCGGCCAGAAGGCGGTGCTGTTGCAAACGCACTACGTCGGCCGAAATGCCAGTTAGGTACTTCTGACCCCACCCCCACCCTGAAACACTGGCAGTGTCGAACCCCAAGGCGATGGAGGGAGAAGGCCGAGGAAAGGTCGAAAACGAAGCCCCGGAACCCGGATTGAAGGATTAAGTGGATTTGGTATTTGGCCCAAGGGACCTCTCCAGAAATCCGACACACGATGGGCGGAAGCGTCAGCTGAAACAAAGCTTGAGACGTGGTTCCCTCTCTGGGCTAACTGGAGAGAGACCTGCTGTCCCACTGGGGATGGCGGGGCGCCTTGTGCAAGCCGGGGACCTGCTGCTTCTTGCGGGAGGCGGTGGGTGAGCTGGCACAGGCTCAGCAGAACTGTTCCCAGATAGCTCTCTAACAGCTAAGAGGGCTCCAGATTGGAAGCCGGCAGCTCATGGTGGCCCTGCAGCTCTGTCCAGCGCTGGTCAAGAAGCCTCGCAGCAAGTTGCTGGAAACTGCAGCTAATCCCGAGCGTTTTCCTGCTCGTTCCCGACACGCGTGCCGGAAGCCTTTCTGCAGCTCCTTCGAAACTCCTCGGGAGTTCCTGCGGGGCTCCTTTCTCGAGCTTACAAGCTCCCTAGATTTTCCCGAATAGCTCTCTGAGGGCTAAGAGGGTTCCAGACTAGAAGCCGGCAGGAGGGGCTGCGCGAACTTCCTCTCTACAGCTCCTGGGCAGGCAACACCGCAGCAGCTTGCTTGAAGCTGTAGCGTATCCCGGAAGGGTTTTCCGAATCGTTCCCAATACGTGTGCTGGGAGCTTGTACAAAGCTCCTTCGCAGCGCTTCCTAAGCTCCTGCGAAGCTCTCTTCTGAAGCTTGCAAGCTTTCCAGATAGCGTTTTTTCAAAGGCGTCTTGGAGGCTTTGCTCCTGTTGCGGACAAGTTTGATATCACTTCAACTCCATCGGAGAATTCTGAGTAGGGTCACATCATGGGGCGGGCACTCGCCCTGGGACCCCTTTCTCAAACGCGCGTTCGGCTCGCAGACTTGATCTCGATATTTAGAGCAACAGCTCTCGATGACACCAACGGATTCAACAGCCTCAAAACCTTCAATTTACAACCTCGAAAGACCTGAGATCGGTCTACTACTCGGGCTGTGTTCGAAAAAAACGGAATCACTATGCAACCGCTGTTGCTCGATCGAATATGTGTTGGCCTGGACCTCTAGATTCCAAGTGAGTTCAGGGCTCTGCCTGTTCGCGCACGCGGGTACGACCAGTAGCTTCGCCTTTCCTCTCCCAAAGATCGGAGTTCGGTCTGCTATTCGACCTATTATCAAACAACTAGTCTCACTCTGCACATGTTTTGCTGTTTTGCGCGGCCCTTCTGCTGAATCTCGAAATTTAGAGCTGCCATAGATTAGCTCTCGAGTGCAGCAAACGATTCAGCAGCGTCGAACGCATTAGTCAGCAGCGCTGGAAGACCTGAGATCTGTCTACTACTCGAGTACTGTTCGAACAAACTAGTACCACTCTTCAACTGCTTTTTCTCTGTCTCGAATAGCTGTTGGCCTGGATCTCGGGATTCAGAGTGGGTTCAGAGCTCTACCTGTTCGTGCACGCGGGTACGACCAGTGGCTTCGCTCTCCTACGTCCAGGGACCCGAGTTCATTCTGCTACTCGAGCTATGATCGAAACACTAACCCCACTCTGCAAGTGCCCTGCTGCTTTGCGCAGTCCTTCTGCTAAAATCCAAGATTTACAGCAGCTACAAGGCAGTCGAGTGCAGCAACCGATTCAGCAGCGTCGACAGCACTAGTCTGCAGCGCCTCAGGCTGAGGCTCCAGCCTCGTCTGGATTGGGGACTGGATATGACTGAAGGATCTTGGCGGTTGCCTCACGAGTAGGCCTGGCCTTGACCGAGGCTGCCGCGGCCTCAGTAGATGACATGACAGGGGTGCAGGGAGCTGCCTCTGGGGTTGCGGTTCCTGCTGTGGTCAGACGGAGGACGAGGACGAGGAGGAGGTGGAGGAGGGGGAGGAGGAGGACGAGGACAAAGACGAGGAGGAGGCGGAAAAGGAGGAGGAGAGGAGGAAGCGAGGAAGCGGGCGGGTGGAGGAGAAGGACTAGAAGGAGCGAGAGCATGCACAGGAAAGGGATCAGGGGCACAAGTAGAAGTAGAAGACGGAGGAAGAGGAGGAGGAGGAGGAGCAGGAGGAGGAGGAGCAGGAGAAAGAAGAAGACGTGGAGGAGGCCGAAGAGGGCGAGGGCGAAGATAATACCGATTGAGGGGTAGAGGAGAACAAGGAGGGGGAGGAGGAGGAGGACACGGGAGGAGAGCATGACAAGGACAAAGACGAGAAGGCCGAGGAAGAGCAGCAATGGCATAAAACTAAGAAGAGGAGGAGAGCGAGAACGACATACAGGGAGGGAGCAGGAGCACCAGCAAGGTAAAAGAGGAGGAGGGGGAGGGTAAGGGTAAGAATGAATGAGTAGGGAGCACGAGCAGAAGCAAGGGGAAAAGAGGAAGACAAGGAGGAAAAATCTGGTCGACAAAAAGCAGGAGGGGGCAGAAGAGGCGGCAGGAGGGAGAGGAGGGGAATGGAGCAGGAACAGCAGCAGGCGCGGCAGCGTAGGAAAGTGGAGAGCAATGACGACCGAGGAGGAGGGAGGGGGAGGAGGAAGAGGAGGAGGAGGAGGAGGAGAAGGAAGAGGAGGACTAGAAGGAGGAGGAGGAGGAGGAGGAGGTGGAGGAGGGGAAGGAGGGGGAAGAGGGGGAGGGGGTAACTAATTAGAGGAGGAGCAGGAGGAGGAAATGGAGGAAATGGAGGAGAAGGAGGAAGAAGAAGAACGGCGATGGCGTCGGCGACGACGGCGGCGACGGCGGCAGCGGCGACTCAGGGGCGCGCTGACGCGCGTCAGCGCAAACACGGGCTGGCCAAGGCCACGCCACGAACCTGGGCTGAGCACTCCCAGACTCGGTCGTCAGCGGAGGAGTGGCAAGGGGCTCTGGCTCCACGTGGCTCCCAAGCCTGGGTCAGTCAAAGGGGGTCTGAGGGGATTGGCCGACCCCCTTTTCAGCGCTGAGCCCCGTGTCGGCGACCCCGAGACCAGACATCCGGCTGCTCCAATTGTTTCGATGCGTGGGCCCTGGAGGTCTGGACCACTTCCCCTAGGCTAGCTGTTCGTCCTGAATCGCTTTTTGACGGTCTCGTGGCCCGGCAAGAGCCCCTGGAGACCGAAAACGGCCAAAAACCGCCCGATCCAATTTTTGGAGCGTCGGATCTCTAGGGGCGACGACGCGTCCAGCCGACCGGCGCGCAAGGCGCAC